CCCCCCACCGTGATGACTGTGAGAGTTACAGGTAGTGCTCACAGGTCAATGCACAGGGGCTGTGCTACGTGTTCCAGAATTCAGTGACCTGCAAATGTTTAAGGGGAAAGGTGACTTCATTAACTAAAGATCAAAAAAGGCAAAGAAAACAGAAGGGCTGCATAGCAGCCAGGGCATTGTATTCAAATAGAACATGTCCCGAAGGACCCTGAGGAAACACATCTATTTTAATTTCCTATCAGATGGTCTCACCTGAGGGCACTCTCCCACTTAAAACTCCACTCCAAGCACAACTATATCTCACTCATTTTATTTCCTAAAAAGGACATGACTCCCAAACTTGCCATTTCCTTCTTACGTGTCTCTATCTGTAATATCTGGTTCACACAGAAGTTGGCTAATTTCTAGCGCCCTTCAAAAATACTCCAATATTCACTTCATCTCAAGTACCCACCCTCTTCCCTTTCCCAGTCTGCACTAGATCTTCAGAAGAAATTCTCTACTCCAGCACAGCCCAACAGAGCTTACGGCAATGACGGAAGTGTCTGTAGATGTACTGTTTAATAGACAGCCACTACCTGCATGTGACTGTTACATCTTACCTGTGACTCAATAACATAAGAAGTTAATTTTTAATTTTATTTAAGTTTAATTCATTTACATTTAAATAAGCACTTGTGGCTAGTGGCTAATGTAGGACAGCACCACTTTCAACAGCTCTTCACAAACTTGAATTCACATATTACGCATTTGGAGATCTTGTTAAAAATGCCATTATCAGTTCAGTCAATTTAGGGTTGGGCCTGAAGTTCCCTAAGTCTGACAAGCTCCCAGGTGAAGCTAATGTTGCAATCACACAACTGCTCCCACCCATCACTACCAGTCAGAAGCAGGAGCCTGGTGAGTTGATTCAGGCTGACCCCTCACACTGAGTTTTTTTCTCTCGCCTGTCCTTGACTGTTTCTTTAAAAGAATGTGTTTGTCATTGTAAATCTGGAATTTGTACACTATTCTAGGCATATAGTAGACTCTGAATTACTGAATCAATCAATCAATCAATCAATGATTGTTTCCTGATTTCTCAAAAAGGAGAGTGTGGGAGATCACAGTGTCTATGTCGGCTTAAATCTGTGTCTAAGTCTCAGCTTAGAGGAAATGATTAATTTTCTGACTGCCTGTATGATGGCACCCACAGAGAAGGGGTTTTTGCAGATTGCCTCTGTGGTACATAGAAGGTGCTCAGTGTGAATGTGAACAAACGTTGGCATTTGTCTAAGCAAATGGAGCCATCACCTGTGTATAGAACATCACTTCTGTTACTTTGTACTTGGACAGTATTTCAGTGTTTATTGGTGTTATTTTTGTTAACTTTTATTCACCATGACATACCTTCTGTTCTTTAATGGCATATAGATCAGTGGTCAGTGGCAAGGTCTTAAGAGCCCAGAATCACAGGCCTCAGTTCTAACCCGGTAGCACCACATTTTAGAACAGGATTAGCTCTCCCAGCCTGGGATTCTTCCTTTATAAAAAAAATAAAATAAAATTACTACCTACTTTTTTCCGTTCATCTTTAGTCCCCTCTATACCCTTCTCCACCTACCCTCCCTCCCCCAGCAAGAATTCTTCTCCTTTACAATGCAAAGAGTACTTTACAAATTTGGGAGCAAAAAGTGGAAATGCAATTAACATCGATCCCCTTCCTAGAGGCTCCCCCTCAGGAAGACTGAAAACGATGTGGATCATTATGCTCCGCAGACGAGAACGTTACACGTTCGGCCAAATTCAATAAGTATTGCTAGAGCTGTAAAAACCAGTACTGATATTTTTTAAAGAATCCTCGCATTAAAAAATTAATGCATTTTGGTATTTCTCTCCCGTTTGTCGATCAGTGTAGCGTTATGGCCTCTTTCTTATGGACGGTCACGGTGGTGAGGACACTTGCACAATGCCAATTATTGCGACAAGGCGCAGGCACCAGTCTGGAGCCCACAGAAGCCCGCGGCTCCAGGCCCCCGGACCGGGACGGCGCCGGCGCGGAGCGCTTTCCCCGCCCCCGCCGCCCAGCGTCCGGGAGCGCGCGAGGCTATATAAGGGGCTGCAGCGAGCGCGCCGGCCGCAGGGCCTGACCGGCCGGTGGCTCTTTACCATGTCTGGTCGCGGCAAAGGCGGGAAGGGCCTCGGGAAGGGCGGCGCCAAGCGCCACCGCAAGGTGCTGCGCGACAACATCCAGGGCATCACCAAGCCCGCCATCCGGCGCCTGGCGCGGCGCGGCGGCGTCAAGCGCATCTCCGGGCTCATCTACGAGGAGACCCGCGGGGTGCTCAAGGTGTTCCTGGAGAACGTGATCCGCGACGCCGTCACCTACACGGAGCACGCCAAGCGCAAGACGGTCACGGCCATGGACGTGGTCTACGCGCTCAAGCGCCAGGGCCGCACCCTCTACGGCTTCGGCGGCTGAGCCCCCGCGTCCACCAGCCAAACATTTTCACCACCAAAGGCCCTTTTCAGGGCCGCCCACT